TTTTGATATTATTATTATAGATGCATCAAAATCGTAATTTCAGTCATCAAAGCGCATAAACATGTAAGTTCTCCGCTTCGCTCCGGACAATAACGATTTGCCAAAACATTATTAGATAAACATTATCCACGTGATCATACCGATTTAATATAATAGATCTCAATTTTTCATATGAACCCCTGTACACGACATGTCCCATGCCTGATAACGAAAATTTGGATAAAATGATTAATGAGACAAAGGTTCGATGAATCAATAAATTTGACTTGTATAAAATAAAATCTAATCATTATTGGTTATTTCAGGCGTGGTTCACAGTTATAGCATGGCTTGATCCAAATAAAACAAGTATTGGAGATAAAACAGAGGGTACATTTCTTTGACGAAAGTTAATATTAGTTTGTTAACTTATAAATCGATAATTAACTATAAAAATTACCTGTTTCTTAGCACCTTCAGAGGTTTATGACTCTCTGGAAATTCTCCGACATACTCCACTGGCAAAAAGACTCTTGGAATGGTATCTTGGTATTTGTCTTCCATGCATTTATATCGACCACAATCTTTTGCCGTCCTTCCATAATTAATAGTGGCAACAAAATATAAAAAAAGCTGCAGTGTGTCGGCATTTTTTAGAGACTTTTGACACGAAATTAAAACAATGGCGTGAAACATGGGTGGCACGTAACTACCTTTAATTAAATAACAAATACTTTAAATGCAAATGATTAATCTTCAATACCAATGCATTAACATATTAGAAATTACAAGAAGAGATCACAACTCCTAATTCTGAAATATTAGAAAATTGGGTTAGTAAATCTTACGAAGAAATTATTCACGATATCTATTCGCATTTCAAGAAATGCGAAAATTCGTTATTTCTTATTCATGCTAGGTTTGCATAGTAAATCATTTAAATATTGGTTAATCTTTACAACTATTACTAGCTTACGAATCATTTTAATTCATTCATATAAAGTGTCGATTTTTTACATCATTTTCGGATTCAATATCACACAAATCTTTATTCATTGCTTAGTGGTGACTCTAAACCATTTTCTGCTGTACCTTCATTGTTTAAGGACATGTCCAAAGTATTGTTTCGTGCTCATTTTCAAAAATTTAATAATATCATGGAATTATATCAACTTGAAAACGGACAATCAATTTTACAAAAGGTCAGGCATCCAGTTAAAAAATTTGAATCCGATCTTTTTGCATGGAAAACATTGGACAATATAAGTGTCATTTTTTCCAGACAAGAAAATGATTCTTTTAATAGTGAAAATAACAATTCAGTAGCGATGGATCTCGATGACATGGATATTTTAAGCGAAAAAATAGACATATCGCAAAACAATATGGATCCGAGTTTGGTTGAAGACTTGAACAAAGAAATATCGGCCTTTTCACAGTTATATAATGAAATGGTTGCTTTAGATTTAATACAGCGTACTAAAGATACATTGGAAGAAACTTTATGTGAGCAGATTGAACTTAGAATTTTAAATACCTGCAAAGGCACATTCAACAAACCAATGCTTCGCTCTTCATCAAAATGGTTGTATTCGGTTGTTTACCATTGGCTACGAATTGTTCTATCGTCAGATCCCCAAACCTCAGCTGATTCAATAGAAGGTAATAGACACAATAGTTAATAATTTATTTACTTGGATGATTTCCTAATATGTTTCTTATTATAAGAGGCATTAGTTACATGGTCAAAACGGCTAAATTACCATTTTTGCATGATGTTCTGCGATTTACGGTATACTCGTTTAAACTGGTTATTACTTTGCAAGAAGCACTTGCTATGGTTATGAATTTTTTTTTTTTTAATTTTTTTTTTAATGTTTTTTTTTTTTTTTTTTTTTTATATGCACAGAAGACCTATTCTTTTAAAAAAATGTTTATACACTGCTAGTCATTATTAAAATTTGGCTTGGTGTTTTCTGTGAGCTTTCTTTTTGCAGAGTCTTTTTTTCCGGTAGCGTTTTCACCAAGAAGTGGGAAGAAGCGATTATCCAGATTTTTAAGTTTTACCAATATACCTTATATAACCTATCGGTAAGTTATCAATCTTGAATTTGATTGGACGTTATTAGTAATATGATCGCTCCGGTCTCCGGATGATTAGGTCGGCAATCACGTGACCGAACCTGGCTTTAACGGATCCCCTAATTTGGGACATTCCCCCCTGGAGTATAAGTCCGAAACCCATAACAGCATTCACGCAGATCAAATTTTCAGGGGCGTTACAAACGGAAAATGCCGAAACTACGTTTTTGATATTATTATTATAGATGCAT